AGAAAAGTTTCTTGTATTTTCCAAACTGGAAGCAAACCTCAATCACCCAAACACAGATCCAGCTCAGATCCAGCTCCTCTGCTGGTGAAGGAGGCAAAAGATTCTACTACTCCCTAGCCCTAAGCACAAGGCAGGAAGAGCAAGTAGAAGGAAAAAGAAATTAAATGAACCAAAGAGGAACAAGAAAGCAAAAAGGCTTCTTAGCCTGCAAAGATCTTGGAGACTAAGAGTCACTACTTTCTCCTTACCCTCTCTACCTCTAGCCTTTGCATCTCTCTTCTACCACAGCTTCAATCACTGCGCGGCTGGTATGCCGTTTAAAACATGCCAAGAACAAGAGGCAATTTTAGAAATGTGTGTAGCTACAACTAGATATCTGCTAGAGACAGATACCAGCCGCAAGCATATCGATCTGTGAAGCAGTGCCAAAGTATAATTTCAACATGTGCTAGAACAGAAAGGAACAAATTGTCTTACCTTGATTTCTAGACTTTCACCATCAATTCCAAACTTCTTCAGTAGGGGTAGAGCTGTTGCCTTAAGGACATCAACCTATAGAATGCAGAATTAAAAAAGCAGACTCTTTGTTGGAAGTTACAGAAGTCCGTAATTTAAAAATCATTGCATTATGAGGTGCCTAACAAAGACAAGGCTTCTCCATAGCAGGTATTCTATGGGAATACATGGGAATGCAGCATAGAGCGCTTCGGCTACTCTTAGACTACCACAGTATCTCATTACTCAAAAAATTTGCTAGAACAAATTACTGGGAGATGGAATTTCCTATTCTGGATTTCTTCCTCAGCCTGATTTTTATTTCTATTATGGTTCAGCTAAAACAGCTCACTTGTTTCTCTGAGAACAGATATTGAAAAAAATTATATTCTTCTGTCATTGCTAAAAAATTCCTACAGCTGAAGAAATGATGATTGCAAGAACCTTTGCATTTTGGAGCAGGCCCTTGATTTGGCAGGAAGAACCTCATCCTTTTGTCAAGAACTTCTTTTCATGTTTCTGAGAAACGGAAACTTCCAGGTAACTTCTGTCAAAATACTTAGAAGAATCTGAAGTGGGTGACACATCATCCATGTACTCTCTTTGAGCCAGATGCTCGCCAGATCCAGGTCTGAGCAGAATTTTCCTTGCCATTGCTCCTCCTAATTGCTGACCTAAGACAACAGTGACTGCTGTCTTCTTCACTCTGCTGAAACTTCAGTAGCATTGCCAAAGGTGACAAAAATGATTTAGTGGTGCAACAGCACAGGGAGTTACCAAAGACAAGCAGCTTGGGAGAGACAGGACCAGGACAGCATGACCAAAACCGAACTAAATTCAGGTGAAGGAAACAGGCATGCAGTAAACAGCAGTTGAGGAGGCAGGAAAAAAAAAAAAGCACTCTCCTTCCCATGCCTTCAGCCAGAATCCACAATTCTTGAGTTTCATTCTCTCTGCTTTGCAGAGAGTGCAAGCCACTGACGAAGTAGTAGCACATACCTCACCTACAAAGCTGTGAACAACCTGTTAAGAGCTACCTGAGTAGCTGCAAGTGTATGCTGCAGTTCTCATTGTTCTTCAAATCCTGCTGGCCAACATACTTCCTTTCTTACAGAGAGGCATTTGGTGTTATTTTTAATGGTAGTATCAATATTTTATTGTCTTCATTAAAAAAACCTGTAAGTCAATGATTAATTTTTTATATTTTATATTTTTTACAGCGAGGCTACCTTAATTCGGCCCCTCAGTAGTATTCATTAATCACACAAATTTGACTTTCAGAGCAAAACCCTTTACTAACAAGCATGCGCACATACACAGACACGTGTGAATACCACTGGTAGAAGTTCCAACAAGCTGATCTGGTTCACATTGAAGTTACATACATATTTCTCCCTCTTTCTTCGGAAACAAAATACGCCAGTAAAAAAAAGAAAAGCTTCACTGTGTAGGTTAGGAACTCCCTTTCCCTCCTCCATCTCCACTTTCGCAATTCTGGACTGAAGTCTGTATCTCTGGAGAAAGCATGTTATGCCAGCATTAGGAAGCTCGATCAATTTTGAGTCCGGTTTGTCTGTTTTTCAAGACTTGTCATAGTTAGTCCTCAGACAAATTCCAGGCATGATACTTATCAGGTACCAGACAGACGCAGAATAAGAGACTGTCTCTGTTCCAAATCTGCAGCCTAAATAGAGAAGGTAATCAGCAGTATTTGAAGAAGTGGAAAAGGCTGTTCTGCTTAGCAGACAAGTGGGAGTTCAGGCAGGAGAGGTCCAGGACTTCAGAACTGAGACCTGAAACCGTATTTCTAGTCCCTTGCCTATACTCAGCCATAAAACCATCCTTCAGCTCCCCTTGAAGGACAGTCATTACATCTCCAGAGCAAACAACACAACACCAAGTTGTACCAAAGCAAATGCATCATAAAACCGATGCATTCACCACAAATGCCAACAACTTGCTAAGTCCCACAGACATTGTTTGTTCACAAACTAGTGTAAATACAAACCTTTTTCCTTTAAAGAAATCTACAATGATTGAAGAAAAAAAAAAAAAGTATCTTTTAGTGGTTTGCAGAATCCCTTAGCTAGTGCAAAGCTGCAAAAAACCAGTCACAGACCCTACAGCACACGGCTACCTAGAAAAGGGGCAAGGATTAGCTGGCCTGCGTAGCCATTAGCACTGCACAGAAGAGCATTTATCCCTGCCATACATACAGCGTTATGTTCTGGGGACGAGGACCTAGACTCAGGGGTGGGGGAAGAGCGAAACCAGAGTTTAGCAAGTAAAAAAAAAAAAGACAAAAAAAGACAGAAAAGTCAGTAAGAAAAACTTCTTGTTTTCCTGGGATTACAGACAACTGCTGAATTTTGATTAACGTTGAAGATGATTGCTCCCAAGCCAAAACTTCATATGCTAGTCTCATGCCAGCATGAAAGTCATTTCAGTTGAAAGTCCCACGGCATAGCTGTAAAAAAACTTCAACACTTACAAACCCAAACATTAAGAATGATTATTCTAAAACCAGGTTATTGCAGCATACGTATGTCGGAGCAACAACACATAGAGAAGGGAAGGAAAATAAGAGCTATCATTTGCGTGCCACCTCCATTCGCTTCAAAAAGGCACTTTACAAAGACACCCCCCACATATATACTCTCTATACAGAGAAACTTTAAACTACCTCAACTCTATATGCCAGTCCCACTTGGCTGGTCCCACAAGCTATCCATGGTCAGCTCTCACCAGTGGTCATGCAGAAAAACATAACGCATATGTATGCTGCCAGTGAACAGTTCAGGCTGGTATTCCACAGCCACATCTCTTCCCGGCAAGTGCGAGCAAAGTAGTATCCCTCTCACTCATTAAGGATGTACCACTCACCACACACTATTACCACCATGGTCCAACCCGAAGCAAGTGCACATTACCCTGTATTTCAACGGCCACAGTACTCTTTTGGAATGGCACCAGCTGTCAAAGAGCTATCCACTGCACCCCACTGGAGGGCTATTAATATATATAAACAAATGCTAACATAAACACACACTATTTATAGTCCAGGAACTCAGCCTGAACCGTGCCACCTGAACTCAGCTGAAGTCTTTCCTTCCACAAGCCATCCTTTAGAAACGCCCCTCCTCTTGCCTTGACCACTTCCACTCCCCCCACAGCAGGAGATCTGCCATGTTCCCTTTTGTCCTCCTGACAAGGGGGTCTCTGGCAAAGAGCAACCTCGAACCCACAACACAGCAATGGCATCCAACAGGTATTTTTGAGGCTGTGTAAAAGCTCAGAGCTCAGTACTGAGAACGGATTTCAGAAAGCCCAGTGGGTCAGCCTACCTCCTCACTGCTACCATGAGGGAAAAGTCCCACTTCTCTGGCTGCACACACAATTACCTCGTGGATGCCTCCATGAGAAAATGCAGGGGTATAGCTCTCTGCCATTTTGCCAGTTAGTTGAACTGGCTTAGGGAAGGCTCTGAAAAGTGTCTGGGGTATTGGAGTACGCAGGACTGTGTGGCTGAAAGCAGGAGATACGGAGGGAGGATAGGCAGGACTGCTTTCTCCTTTCAAGCACAAAGGGCGTGCTGTAGGATCATACGTGTGTATATGTGCGTGTACATATGTATTTTCACATATATATATGTGATTTTGTACATTTATTTGCAAGTGACAGATGTTGAATACACTCACACGAGGATACATCCTGTAGAGGTCATCTAGCTCCAAAATAAAGACACATGTTTCCAAAACATGATATTCCTTTGACAAATAAAACCAACAAAAATTCTCCAAAGCAGATAAGCAGGTGTCTTGCCTACTCTACCTACTAAGTTGAGATGGAGAGGTTCTTACATGAAGAGCAGCAGGGAAAACTCCTTGCCCATTTTAAACTACCCACAATATATTTACATTGGTTTGCCTTTCCCCCTTCTCCTTGGAAAGCCAGAAAGTGTACAGATGGATAGACAAACTTAAGCATCCCTTTTTGGGCAAGCGTAGGTAATAAACATTCACCCAGTTTCTAAACACCTTCTGCCTACTGAAAAAATAAAAGCCTAAATCAATTTAAAACAAAGTTTTCATTTACTTAAGCACATAAATCACTTAGGGTAGCACTTAAACTTGTGCTTTTAGTCTCAGCAACCTGCAGAGCCATATGCTATACAAAACATCTTGTAAAACTCCTTAAAGTAGTTTATTGGTGTGCACAAGGTTTAATGTTTACTCAGGCAAGTTAAACAGACATAAGACAGCTTTAGGAATTGGTATTCAGTTATCACCACTTAAAAAGTTATACACGAGCTGAGTCACAGTAACTACAGTTGTGCTTCTACAGCACAATGAACTTAAGACGTTAACTCCTTAGCATGCACATCTGCATTTTATTTACACTTAGTGTCAGGTACTGTGATTCAGCTGATGTATGCCAACACCCGTCTGTGTCTGAGCTTTGGCCAGTGCAAGCTCCCTTCAAGCACAAACTAACTGGCTCAACTTCTCGCACCCATTTCAACTAAAATTGTTTAATCTCTATTGGCCCATGTAGCTGATGCCTGAAAAGGGATAATTTCCAGAATCAAGACTCAGTTGCTTAGATGAGTGTCCAAACTTACTTGAAAGCAACATTAAGATTGGACTGCTCTTCGTGTCCAAATTCTTCAAGAATTTCTCCACTGTGATTAAAAAGGCAGAGTCAACCAAAAGAGACGACTTTGATTTTTACTACTTACCATTTCTATTAAGTACTTTTAATCACGGAGACTAAAAGGTTAGCAAAACATGCTTCCCATTTTACTTTTTTTTTTCCCCTTTTCCTTTTTTTTTTTTGACAGTGCTGTGTATAACCCAATTCAATCATTTTTTGACTCATGTGGGTGTCTCACAGAGCCACAGGTGAGAGAACAAGTTTTTTAAATGACAAGAGAAGCACAGTTGAAAAGCCATAAATACCAGCAGGACTCAGAGGTTCATCTAATATCTGCAATTATACTTCATAGTATTGGTATTCATTTAAACTGGTTAAGTTTTCAGATGACAAAGTTTCCTTAATCTATTCAGAGGAAAACAGGCAGTCTCCAAACACCATTCAAAAAGTAAACAGCAGTGCTGTTCTCCAAAAGCTATTATGTTTGTTTTTTTCAGGGAAAAAAAAATAGCATAACCACTAACCATTACTTCAGTGTTTTAATCCAACATTATCCATAGCTCAGTTTTGTAACAACACTGTTAAAAAAAGGACTGTAAGTCAGCAGTAATAGAAAACAAGGCAAGCATTTCATAGTCATTTGATCTACCATACCTTCTAGTGTCTTTCTGACGAATCAGAGAGTTATTACATATTTTTGCTACTGTAATTTCATAATTGTCATGTGACTTCTGTTTCTAACAGAAAGAAGGCTTCACAGCAGCATTGGTATAACTATGTCCAGCATCCAACAGAAGAGAAAGCTTCCTTCTTTACCACACTCAAATTTTAAAGACAATTTCCCCTTTTTACAGTAAATACATATGTGGGGTAGGAAAAACAACCCATCTAATTTCTAAGAGAACAGGAGAAGTGGCAGGGTCTCACATCGCATTTAAAGGGAACTTCCAGGGGAGAAGACAGAAGCAGTACAGAACTGAAAGTCAAAAGGTGGATTACAAACTGCAGTTTGGAGTGAGATGCAGAAAGGGAACAGTTTAGCAGGTGCTTGTTTGATTCAGAGTTTGCTGGCAGGTGCAGTAACACTGGATACTTCTGGATGCGAGGGATAATAAAAATGCAACATGTTTTAGACCCTCCTTCCTAATTTTTTTTTTAAAGGGGAAAAAAAAATCCTCCTCTGGTACTTAAATTTTATTACTTACTGAAGGATCTACTTGGTCATTTGTTACTCCCCTCAGGACAATCTTCAATGGATGTTTCATGAAAGGTGCCAAGCAGAGCAGACTTTCCAAATAGTAGCCAATACTACGACTGGGGCTGCAGTCATGTTCCAATGAGCCTCCATACAGAAGACCAGGCTGATAATACAAGGTAGTACCTGGGGAAGGTGCCAGGGAAGCAAACCAAATGAGAGCACTGTCAGCACGCTGGCCATTACTACAGCATAAAGACACTTTGCAATGATGTATACAGGCAAATTGGAGACAGAAGAATTTATGAAAGACGGTAGCACTTCCAGCACACTATTTCTACGTCTGCAATTAATAAACAGGCCAATGCACATGAGTGCCTGTCTGTCTTGCACATCATTTCTCCTCCTTTCCCCTTCTCCCCAAAAATCAAGAATCTCTTAGCAATCCCCAAAATGCTGATACAAGCAATAATTATCATCCTCCACAGCAGCTAAATCTTCACCAGATGATCAGGTCATTGCTATCACGGCATATCTGGTAGTAGTTCGTCTGCTTTACTGACCAACCATAATCCTTATTAAAAAAACAACAAAAGAAAAAGAGGACAAGAGCCAGACGAGATTTTTATGTGGGATGTTCCGTGCTCAAACCAACCCCTTTTCTGAGCATGACTAGGCAAGCAGTCTTGCTCAGAAGTTTGCCTTTGTAGAAGGCAAACCTTGCCTTCTACAAAAATCTGTTCCGGTTCAGAGGGACCTCCCCCACTACAAAATCCTGCATACCATACTAATTTTAATTCTTGAGCAATACAGTTTCCTTACGTCTCTGCATTACGGTGGAGCACTGATCTTCCTGCATGCGATCAATTATTACAAAACTTCTTAGTTTAGTTATTTCTGATCTTCTCAGCCAATGATATCTGAACACCCACCTCTGTCAAGCCAAAACTTTGATTTCACTGCAGCAACTGATAAGAGCCCGGGAAACCAGAACAGAGGAAGAAGAGAAAACATCTCTCACCTGTTTGGTTTATTTCAATCCGAGAGCCGTTGGTCACTTTGTCGATCAGGCGAATAAAACTTGCTTCAAAGTCTAAGGAGCAGAACAAAAACAGAATTTTAAAGTTCCTTAAATTAATTCCTGGAAAAAATAAGAACTTCAACACCATACTTGTACATTTTCCCTTTCCTGCCTTTCACAACAGTGAGGCCACCCTCACTCTTCAACTTGTTGTGGTATAATTCCACCACATGAGAAAAAGCAATTCACTATAAAACCAGAGATGTTAATTTGAGCCTCCATGCTTATAGGCATCTCAAATCAATTGAGAGATGCCCTCAGATGCGACCGTTGGACTAGCCACACTCCTCTCCCTGGCACACAGCAAGTGCTACAAGTTGACGCTTCTGACCACAGTGGCCTGAGGGATCACTCAAGCCCAGGATAAAGCTTTTGACAATTTACATTTTGCTCAGTACGAAGCAAAACATACAAATCCTAGCAAACAGGACCCCGCATATTTAAGCATGACAGGCTAATAACAGCTTCCCATTATTCTCTGTAAAAGTCTTAGTTTAAAAGAAGGGGACGTTCAGATGTGAAGTGCTGCTGCTGCACAGCTGTTCCACAAACACAATTAGCTATCTGCAGACTTTCAAGTTTTCCATTTCCAAAACTGTCACTGACATAATAAAGGCTAGAGAAACACAAGTCTCCCCATCGCCTCTTTTCTTGCTTACTGTGTACACTATAGCAGTTTGTGTGGAACTAATTCCTCAGTTTCCCTTGTTTGTGTGGACTCTCACTCAGAGACACGGGGAAAAGACAAGCATATTTAACAACAACAACAAAAAAAAACCCAACAAAAAAAAAAAGAGGAATGTGCTAGTTTTCTAGTATTTAGGTATCCCAAGCTGGTACAGACTCAGTATCAAGGAAAATATGTGAACATATGCAGAGTTCAAAACCCAGGTAGTTTTAAGGACCAACAGCACTGGCATAACAGTTGGTAGGTTGCAGAACTTCCTTAGCAATAACCCTGTGTTACTTCTTAACCAGTAATCAAATTTTTCTTTCTATATAAGTTTCTAGGATGCAATAAACATTTAAACCGAAGAGCTACCCGCAGAAATTAGAGTTCGTTAACATTTTCCTAATACGGTTGATGCCCCAGTCACACAACGCTGGTTCTGCTCTCTGTTATGATATCTTCTAAACTTCAAGTTTATATGACAGCACTGGGACCTCTTCCAGTGCAAGAGTACATCCTTGTGAATACACATTTCCCTCGTGGAGAACAAACCTGTAGAAGAGTTTTCATTGCAAATGTTCCAGTCATGAAAAGCAGAGAGAACTGCATGTTGAATCATCAACACAAATCAGGGTTTGTTATTATCATTTCTTCTGTTACAAGTCACAGTTTACATTTTAACCCATACTTGAAAAAGGCAATTCAAACACCTTTTAAAAAAACACGGCAAAACCCCACAAACTTCACCACCACCAAACATCCCACAGTATTAATAAATACTCTGGGTCATGGTAAACGTTAAGTTAAGCACGCAAGAATGTTTTGACAGTTTCGGAGGAGAATTTCTAGCTATAAACTGAAGCCTCCTCAGGAGGCAGCATAGCATCTATGCTGGTCCTACCCCTGTTCCGAACGTCACACCTTGGCCAAAACCTAACTGAACACCACAATAATGTTTCTTCCTCAATCTCTATCCTATCGTCTCCTCACTTCGGTTAAATGAGGCAGTTTATTTTGGGGTGCCAAATGTCCCGTACAGGAATGAAGAGGGTACTCCCTAAGCAAGGTTTTCCCTCAAAGGAGTCCGCAGCGTCGGAAGTTTTCAGAAATGAGAAGTAAATGGATTCCACGTCTTTCACCTTTACTGCACCTTGGGCAAAACCCAAATAAAAACGAAAGCATAAGCCCTGACCCGTTAAAACCCTGGTAACTTGGGCTGCCAGGAGGAGATGGAGAACACGCCACCAGGCACGCGGCAGCGAACGACGGCAAGCTCCGCCACTTCGGACTGAAGAGCCCTCCTCACAGAGACACGGACCAACCGCGGGGCTGCCGGCGAAGCTCACGCACAAGCGAGCCAGCGGGTTAGACCCGCGCTTGGCATCCCCTCCCGCTCCCCCACCCGCAGCGCCTCACGCC